TGAGGTATGTGTAACAAGATTTTAACTTTCACCAAAGAAAGGGGAAAAAAACATATTTTAATTGACAAACGTTCAGACCCCTGGGGTGGGAGGAAGTGCATTATCTAGATATTTCAGGCTAGATAATTAGGGAAAAGAAAAATAGCATTGGCCTGAGCTATCCAATCCATTGCCTACAACAGTTAGATTATCTGAATAATCTTTTGCTCCTAACTTAGCTTGCGTAGACCCAGCTGAGGATGTCTGGTGGTGGCGTCTTTTCCCAGGATGGCACAGCTCCTTTGGGAGGAGGCAGAGCCAGAATTTAGGCAGAAGGGACCAAAGAGACAAAACTTAGAAGTGATGGAGAAGAACCTCCCAACCCTATCCAGGTCAAAATAAATTCCATTAACATCCACTTTCTTTAGTGCACATCTTAAATATTCTCTCTCTCCCTAACTTTTCTTTCATGAATTTTTAGGTAGGCTCCTCTAGCTATGGACCACGCCACAGCATTTAATTCTAAGGCCTGTCTTTGGAGTTTTGAGCTGAGTGAATAATGAAAGACTTTCAAAATGTTCAAAAACATTACGGTGTCTTTAATGGTAAACGTGCATCCGCAGGATAGCTTTTAGAGTCGTCAATTATATTACCTGTTACAAAGGCCTGGAAGATGTTTCTTCTTAATGAGTCCACAGATACTTGGGAATGTGAAAATCTTCAGATAGATTTATCTGTGAGTACACAGTACATGTTATTTTCAGGAAATAAACTATTGGCTGCTCTGAGAAGTGTATATCATACGGCTGACACGCCAAGGACCTCTCCATTGGTCGGTGTCAGGCTGTCTGCCAGCGAGGAGGCAGAGAACTACCCAGGAATGCGCAGAGCCTAAAAAGAGGCTGACACGTTTGGAAATAGTGCTTCTGATATAAGGAATGTCACATTTCCTGTGACTGGAGTTGGGCAGGAACAAGATAACAGGGAGTCTGGTAGAGATTCTCTGGTAGAGATATTTACACCTGAGAACTTTGTTTTATGATGTGGAAATGCAGCTAAACAATACCGCTTGACAGAAGATTTGTTCCTTCTGCTCACTTTGTGTTGTTAACGGCTGTAAGAGGTGTGGGAGAGGATTTATGGAGCCAGTTCCAGGTTGGTCCCCCCACTTAGAATACAGTGGACATCCCCGTCTGATAGTGTAACTTGTAAGTACAGTTGTAAATGTATATAATGCAAATGATAGAGATGTGTGTGTGATGTAAATATAGTTTTGAAACTGAACGTCAGCCTTGTCACACACTTATGTAGGGTGAGTAGAACTGTATGAGTAGATGTAAACAGACACTATATCCCAGCGTTCTGTACCATGAAACAAATCTGCAAGCTCACGCCATTGGATCCTACTTACAGCAAGTAATATTCACCACTGTTGGGCGTAGCGGAAATGTGAAATTTATCTCTTTCAGTGGTGTTGTAATATCTTTGTTCACTGGGCTAGAGATCAGGCAGTATAAGAAAAAGAAAATGGGTTTGGGGACTAAAAACAGGGATTAAATCCCAATCCTATCAGCTATAATAGCTATGAAATTAGACAAGCGATTTAATCTCTCTGTGACTATTTGTAAAATGTATAAAATTGGAATAGCAGTACTCTTATATATTGTAAGCATTAAACAAAATACTTTTTGCAAAGCTTGTACCTGAATGTTTGACAAAGAGTAGGCACTCAAAAAATTTTAGCTCTTTTCACATTATTGAAGTAGCCCAGAACAATGAAACTTTCCCCCAAAAAACATGCACATGAGTATGGGCTTATGTTTACACACACACACACACACACACACACACACACACACACACACACAATAGAAATAGACTTCCGTATAAATTCACTCTAGTCCCTTCTAAAAACATGTCTTCTGAGGATCCAGTAAAATCTGTCATTCTAGAAGTGTATCAGAACTAGATCAATCAGAGTTACCAAAGAAGATAATTAAGTAGAAAACTTGCAAACCATGTAAATTACATGGGAATTTACTACTTTTTAAGATTTTTTGTATTTTAATTACTTATGTGTTTCTGTGTATATGCATGTGTATAAAATCTAGCAGAACATTTTTAATATTACTGTATATAGCCAGTATTCATTTGATTTACCCACACATCTACCATTTTCATTGCTCTTTACTCCCTGAATCCACAAACTAATATCTTGATTCATTTTCTCTACCTAAAGAACACTCTTCAGTATTTTCTGTCATATAGATCTGTTGGTGGTGAATTCTCTTAATTACTGTTTGTCTGAGCATGTCTTTATTTTGCCTTCATTCTTGAAGGATCTTTTTGCTCCATAGAGAATTCTTGATTGGCAATTCTTCTTCTTTAGCACTTTAAAGATAATCCATTGTCTTCTGGCTTCCGCTGTTTTTGATGAGACGTAAATTGTGAGTTTAATTGTTGCTTATTTGAAGGTAATGTATATTTTGTTCTGGAGGTATTTAAGATATTTTCTTCAGCCTTTGGCTTATAGCATGTCTTCGGCTTATAGCAGTTTAACTACGACCTGCCTAGGTGAGGGTTTCTTTTTATTTTTCCTGCTTGGGGTTAGGCCTTCTTGAATCCATAGCTTATATCTCTCATCAGTTGGGGAAAATTCTTAGCCATTACCTGCTCAAGTATTACTTCTGCCCCATTATCTCGCTCTCTTCCTCCTCCAAATTATGTATCTGTTAGACCTTCTCCATGTGTCTTCTTTGTCTCTTACCCTCTCTTCTGTATTAGTCATCTTTTTTTGGCTCTATGTTCATTTTGCATAGTTTCTTCTGAAGCTCTAATTATAGAATCCAGTTCACTAATTCTCCCTTAAACCATGTCTATTCAGTTGGAAGATTCATTGCATTCTTGATTTCGCTGGGTGTATTTTTTTATTCTAAAATTTTTATGGATCTTTTAAAAAATAAATTCTAGTTCTCTACCAAAATCCTCAAGCTTGTCTTTAATCTTCTTAAATATTGTAAGTATAGTCATTTAAAATCTCTATCTGATAACTGCATAGCAGAAGCCCCCGTGGGTCGGTTTTTATTATCTTTTGTTTTTTTGATAGTTTTTATTCATGTTACCTGGTCTCCTCATGCCACTCCCCACTTTTAAATGGAATGCTAGTCTTTTACTTGCAAAATTGTCTGTGGAAATAATTCAAGACCTTAATCCAGTTTTAGGGACTGAGATGATTCAAACGTGAGCTTCAGTCCTAGAAAGGCCTGTCCGCTTCTGGTTCACCCTTGCCTATGAGGTACAGTGCCAATGCTTTGGAGTCACAGCCCAGAAAATGGGGTTCATCAGAGAGCACCGTCCCGTGTTGTACCCTGAAGTCCATTCCCTCTGCCCCATGCTCTTAAGACTGTCAAAAGTGCACTTGGGAGGGGTGGGGGAGGGGGGGAAAAGCACACTTGATTTTACAACTTCTCAGCTTTGGAATGTTCTAGACAATAGGCCCTAAACACCAGGTTCAAATCTCTGGGCCATGATCCTTTCCTGATCTGACTCGGTAATTTTTTACTATCTTTTTTTCTGTCCAATGCCATGAAAAAAAAAAATTATTAACGTTTTGTCCAGGGTTTTTAAATTTTATTTGTTTATATTTTTTTGTTCAGAGTTTTTAGTTGTCCTCAGCAGGAGGGTTGGTCCAAATTGCCTCATCTCCTGCATCTAGAAGGGCCACTGAAAATTGACTTTTTAAACTACTTCATCGTTCTCTTTTTCTTTCCTACATAAAGTTGAAGAAATTTGATTTCCATGAGAATTAAACTGTAAAAACTTCACGTGCATTTCAGCCTAATTTAATGGCAATGGTGAGACTTTGGCTGGACAGTTGGCAGATGCCTGCACACACCGTCTCCTTGCCTTTGTCCGCATGTTCCCACTTCAGGAATGTCTCTTCCTTGCAACCACATCTCCCCTCCACCCCCATTATTTTTTAAACCTCAGCACAGCGTATCCTCATCCAGGAAGACTGACTTACTCCCTTCTTCTCCAAAGTGCCCTCCAATAACTTCATAGGGTGCAAAGCTCCATGACCCCACCTGCCACAGTGGTCGGCAGTTCTTGTTCATGGGCCTCTTTTGTCCACTTGCTTGTGAACTCCTTTGGACTATCTTTTCAGTTGAATCCCTTATCCTTGCTGCGTAACACATAGTGGCATGGAGAAAACGGCGGCTATTGAGAGAGTATTCTAGGCTTCACCTGCTTTCATAATTTGCAGAGACCAACTTGAATACCTGGGCCTGGACCGAGCACTGGCGCTGTTTGTGTCTTATTTTACCTTTCCCCAGTAGTGTCCTTACCCCGAGCCTCTTCCAGTCCTGCCCATCCTTCCGGGTCCCAGGAAAGCCTTCCCTGGCTCCTCTAGCCCAATTGGTTATACTCCCCCTAAATTCCTAGAGTACACATTCATTTATCCAATAAATATTTATTAAACTCCAACCATATGCAATGTACCCTTTTAGAGGCTTGGGACACAGTGATAAATACATGCCTGCCTCATGGAGCTTACATTCAGTCTCACTCTGGTCCGTGTTTTGTCCTGTCATACGTGATCACAGCAGTTGTCCAGTGAGCTAGTAAAATGCAAGACCATAGTGAGCTTCAGAGTCACCGCAGAGCAGAGCCTGGCTCAGTGCTGAAGGCTAAGTAGGTGTTTTGTCATTGCTGGGGGTTGACGGACTTGTTCTCAGAGAGACACTAGAGCGAATACTCAGAATATTTTGAATACTGAATGGACTTTTACACTGGAAAGTTCCTTCACTGGCTTCTGCCCAGTGTCTATACATGGTAAGTACAGGAACGACAGAAAGTTAGGAGCTTCATTTGTCATGTGTTGCAGGGGGAGAAGTTTGTAAACTACGTCTTATTTTTTTTCCATTCGGCATGTGTGTGCGTGTAAAAGAAAACAAAAATAAAATGTTTGTTTCATTTGTTTCCTTCCTTTTGCCTCTCTCTGTCTCTCACTGTTTCCGCAGGTGAGCGTTGAAGTTTTGGTAGAGTATCCTTTTTTCGTGTTTGGACAGGGCTGGTCATCGTGCTGTCCAGAGAGAACCAGCCAGCTCTTTGATTTGCCGTGTTCCAAACTCTCGGTGGGGGATGTCTGCATCTCGCTCACCCTCAAGAACCTGAAGAACGGCTCTGTTAAGAAGGGCCAGCCCGCGGATCCGGCCAGCGTCCTGCTGAAGCACTCAAAGACCGACAGCCTGGCGGGCAGTAGACACAGGTACGCCGAGCAGGAAAACGGAATTAACCAGGGAAGTGCCCAGATGCTCTCTGAGAATGGCGAACTGAAGTTTCCAGAAAAAATAGGATTGCCTGCAGCGCCCTTCCTCACCAAAATAGAACCCAGCAAGCCCGCGGCCACGAGGAAGAGGAGGTGGTCGGCGCCGGAGACCCGCAAACTGGAGAAGTCAGAAGACGAACCACCTTTGACTCTTCCTAAGCCTTCTCTAATTCCTCAGGAGGTTAAGATTTGCATCGAAGGCCGGTCTAACGTAGGCAAGTAGAGGCAGCGTGGGGGAAGGAACCGTGGCTCTCCCTTACCCGTTGTATCCAGATTACTGTACTGTAGGCTAAATAACACAGTATTTACATGTTATCCTTATTTTAGGTTTCTGTTCTAACCTTGTCATTCGAGTTACAGCAGGTGTGTCGCAGGAGACTGGTGCATATGCTTTTTCCACGAGTGTCTGTCAGCGAGGGCGGGTGCGGGGCCAGAGCAGGGGCAGTCCGGGCTTCAGGCGTCCCGGGAAGAAAGGCACGTGGCCTCCTGGCGCCTGTCTTCTGTGGCAGCACAGAAGCGTGCAGTGGGCGCTGACTCCCGCCAGTGTCAGGAGAAAGTCGTGTGGGGAGGGCCCTGCAGGGGTGCGTGCATGTGGGGGTGCACGGGTGCCGCGGCGGTGAGTGAGGGTCTCTTTTTCTCTGCCTCCCTCTGTCTCCCGCTCTTGCTCTCAGCATGGGATTGGGGGTCCAGAGCAGTGTCCTCCTGGGGTTCCCACGTGCAAAATCAACATCCAGGGACCCAGCTTCAGGGCATCGTAGAGAGGCGTCAGACGGCAGATGGAAAGCTAACCGTTTAAAAGAACATTCTTTTCTCTCCAAAATATTTTACAATAAAAGCAACTTTTAATCGTATAGATATATATTTCCCCCTATGGGGCCTGACTGCACTGATATATTTTTTTTTTAAAAGAGCAACTGCCACACGTGGGATTTCATTTCTGCTTTGCTAGTGCAGTGATGTCGCCAGGGTGTCATGGTGGCCAGGGAAGCCGCCACTCACGTCGCTCCACGTGGGGGGTGGTGGGGGCGGGGTGGGGGAGAATGAACACCCACGCTGGTCTCTGTGCAGTGTTAGGAAAACCAATCAGGTTCTTGCATTGACTTCGCTCCCAAGAGGTAGATGCAAACTGCCCTTCAGTGAGAGCAACAGAAGCTCTTCGAGTTGAGTTTGCAAAATCTTTTTGTCTTTTAACTCTAGTACTGTTTATAGTTCCTGACTATGGATAACTCGGGTGCCACTTTTTTCAGATTCCAGTGTGACATGAGGAATTAGATTTTGAAGATGAGCATATATTACTATCTCTAAGCACTTAAAATGCTGTTCACACTTTATTACCAAGCATCTTGGTCTATCATTCAACAAGTACTGTATCTCACTTTAAATTCTTTGGGAAGAAAAACAACAACAAAAATTAAGTTGCTTTCCTTTTTTTCAACACTGTAACTACATTTCAGCTCTGCAGAGTTGCTCACAAGCAAGATATTGAAAGTTTCAATGTGGCTTAAAGGGATGAATGTGAATCATGAACTAGTATGTGACAATAAACGACCACCAAGTACTACCTGACAGGAGGCACTTTTCACTTTGATGTCTGAGAAAGAGTTAAAGGCATATGCAGAGTTGGCAGAGAAACTGAGAGAAAAGGGACTGAGAAAAGAATACTCATTTTTGTCCAGTGTTTTTCTTTTTAAGATGAACTTTTAAAGAACCTTGCGATTTGCACATCTTGAGTTTGTAATTTGTGTGATATTCCTGCAGTTTTTATCCAATAACATTGTGGGAAAGGTTTGGGGGACTGAACGAGCATAAATAAATGTAGCAAAATTACTTTCTAACCTGCCTAAACTCTAGGCCATTTTATAAGGTTATGTTCCTTCAGAATTCATTTTGGTCTTTCTACCACATCTTTCACAAAAAGCCAGGTCTTAGCAGGACAACTCTGAGAATTTTCTTCAGATTCATTGAGAGAGTTTTCCATGAAGACATTTATATATGTGAGCAAGTTTTTTTAAAACAATTATTTTATCATTGTTGTTATTAATGTTATTTTCAGAATGACTTTTTTTTTCTTTTCGAAATCAAATCAAGATTTAATGTTTGGTACAAACCCAGAAAGGGTATTTCATAGTTTAAACCTTTCATTCCCAGAGATCTGCAATATCTCATTTGTGGGTTTTGAGTGCGTCGTAAAGTGCTTTAAAAAAAAAAAAAAAGAGTTTTATAAGTAGGGAGAAATTTTTAAATATTCTTACTTGGATGGCTGCAACTAACCTGAATAAATACTTATCTGATTTTCTTTTACCATTGAAAATAGTACTTCTTCCATTTCACAAATTACAAAAAAAAAAAAAAAAATCTGCTGTCAATTCACATTTTGGCTAATATTCCTTTGCATTTAGCTGTCGCCAGGACTAAAGATTTTTACAAACCATTTTCTGGGGTGTACCAAAAACATTTGAATAGGTTTAGAATAGCTAGACTCGTTCCTTGACTTTCCTCAAATTTCATTACCCTCTCAGCATGCTTGCAGAGAGCTGGGTGGGCTCACTCTTGCGGTCATACTGCTTATTTAGTGCTGTATTTTTTTAAACGTTTCTGTTCAGAGAACTTGCTTAACCTTCCATATATATTCTGCTCAGGGCACTTGCAATTATTAGGTTCTGTTTTTCTTTTTGTTTTTTAACCTTTGATGGTAAGAGGAATACGGAGCTGCCACATAGACTTTGTTTTCATTAGTACCACTATTTACAACTCATGTGGACTCAGAAAAACACACACCACCTTTTTGGCTTACTTCGAGTATTGAACTGACTGGATCCATTAAGACAACACTAAATGGGAAAATACACGTGGTTTGGAGCAATAGGAACATCATGATAAGTTTTGCGGTTCTATTTCAGGTATAGGAATTATAAAATAATTGGTTCTTTCTAAACATTTGTCCCATTTCATTCTCTTGCTCTTTTAGCATGTGCAATACTTTCCGTGCCAATAGAGTCTGACTGCTGTGCTATAGTTAAAGCTCATTCCCTTTTGGCTTTTTCCTTGTTCGCTTGATCTTCCCCGTTCTGGCCAGAGCAGGGCTGGCGGGAAGGAGCCAGGAGGGGGAGACCCTCCTGCCTCTCCCCTGCTGCGGATGCTGAGTGCAGGGCGGGGAGCTTGGAGGAGCCCTGAGTGTCTGTCACCATATTCCAGAAAGAGCCAGCCAAGGAGACCTAGGGGAGGAGCCGCGGTGTCCCCTGTCACCACACGGAGTAGTGGATGTGGAGTGTGGAGAGGAAGGAGGCAGATTCATGTCTAAGACGTACTCTGGAGCAATGTAGCCTGGCATCAACTCATTTTCCACGGTCCTTTCTGCACGTGCACAGACCCCTCCTCAGGGTCTGTGTCCTTGAGACTTTTAGCCCTGCTGCCGAGCGTGGGCAGGAAGTGTAGCCTGTTGTGTGTGTGCATTCTGAGCGTGCTGACCAGGGGCTGTGGAGGGGACCACCTGCCAACAGCGGTCACCACTCCCTTGTGGCAGCTTCCTCTTCAAATAGGAAGAACGCGCAGAAGGCAGGAGCCTCCTCTTGTTTGCAGACGCTGGCAAGCCTTTGTCACTGCTTCTGTGTAGCAAACATGACGATGACAGGGGTAGAAGTCCTTCGGTGCCGTGCGGCTTACAAGGATCAGCCATGTGCCTCTGTACTGTGTCCACTTTGCAATATTTACCGACAGTCGTCTTTTGTTCTTCTTTCTTTCCTGTTTTCCATTTTTAAACTAATAACAGCAGGCCTTTTGCGTTTACAACGGAACACAATCACCAAGAAATTAGTCAGGGCGAAAAGAAAAAAAATAATATTATTAATAAGAAACCAACAAACAAGAACTTCTCTTTATAGGGATTTCTAAATATATAAAATGACTGTTCCTTAGAATGTTTAACTTAAGAATTATTTCAGTTTGTCTGGGCCACATTGGGGCAGGGGGTGGGGGAGGGAGGGATTCAGAGATGGATGCCACTTACCTCAAATCTTTTAAAGTGGAAATCCAAAATTGCATTTTCATTTGGACTTTCAGGATAATTTTCTATGTCGGTCAATTTTTTGTTTTCCCTAACTCACCCAGTTGGGTTTGGGATGATTTGACTTTGTTGTTTGTTGTTGATCCCATTTCTAACTCTGAATTGTGACCCTGTATGTTTTCTGTTCGGTGAGTGTGTTGGGTTTTTCCCCCCACCAGGAAGTGGCAGCATCCCTCCTTCTCCCCTATAAGGAACTCTGCGGAACCTTTCACACCTCTTACTCAGGGACGGGGCCGGTGTGTGTGGTACACTGATGTGTCCAGAAGCAGCACTTTGACTGCTCTGGAGTAGGGTTGTACAATTTCAAGGAATGTTTGGATTTCCTGCATCTCGTGGATTACTCCTTAGATACTGCATAGATTGCAATATAATGCTGCATGTTCAAGACGAACAGTAGCTCCTAGTAATCATAAAATCCACTCTTTGCACATAGTTTGATCTTTACTGAAATATGTTGCCAAAATTTATTTTTATTGTTGTAGCTTTGGACTTTCTTTGTTTTGTTTTGTTTTTTAAAGGAAACAATTGACAATACCCTTTAACATCTGTGACTACTAAGGAAACCTATTTCTTTCATAGAGAGAAAAGTCTCAAATGCTTTTGAAGACACTAATGCCATGCTATTTCAGATGTGGGTGAGGAAGCAGAGCTCTCGGACTGAAGGCCAGCCTTTTTGAGCTGTGTTGGTTGTCATGGCTACTGTTTCATGAACTGCAAGCAGCTCAACAAACTGGTCTGTTCTCTTCTGAACCCCTTTGCACTTCAATTTCCCAGTCACCCCCGATGATTCCGGGTGAAAACAGGGCCAGCAGACTCCGTGGCCCAATCCAGTTTCTTCGGTGGTGATACGAAAGGAAAGAGAATTATGCTTTTTTTTTTTTTAAAGTGGAGTGGAGGCCTTTGCTCCCACATTTGTGTTTTTAACCCAGAATTTCTGAAATAGAGAATTTAAGAACACATCAAGTAATAAATATACAGAGAATATACTTTTTTATAAAGCACATGCATATGCTATTGTGTTGGGTTGGTTTCCTCTCTTTTCCATGGACAGTGTTGTGTTTCTGTTGCTAGGGAAACTCCAAACAACTTGCACACCTCTACTCCGGAGCTGAGATTTCTTTTACATAGATGACCTCGCTTCAAATATGTTACCTTACTGATAGGATCTTTTCTTGTAGCACTATACCTTGTGGGAATTTTTTTTTTTTTTAATGTACACCTAATTTGAGAAGCTGAAGAAAAAAAATTTTGAAGCACTCACTTTGAGGAGTACAGGTAATGTTTTAAAAAATTGCACAAAAGAAAAATGAATGTCGAAATGATTCATTCAGTGTTTGAAAGATATGGATCTGTTGAAACAGTAAGTTTCATACTTTGTTTGTAAAAAAAAAAAAACAAAAAAGCAGATAAGAGTTGAAAGTTACATGTTTTTTTGTATATAGAAATTTGTCATGTCTAAATGATCAGATTTATATGGTTACGGCCTGGAAGATTTACTACGTAAAAGGCTCTTAAACTATACCTATGCTTACTGTTGTTTTTGTTACACACAGCCCTCGTCTGAGGGAGGGGAACTCTGTATTCTGCTATTTGAGAATACTGTTCATTCCTATGCTGAAAGTACTTCTCTTAGCTCCCTTTTTAGTCTAAACTTTTAAGCCATTGCAACTTCTTTTTCTTCAGAAATGATGTTTGACATTTTCAGCACTTCCTGTTCCTATAAACCCAAAGAATATAATCCTGAACACGAAGTGTTTGTTAACAAGGGATCCTAGCTACCAATAAAACAGGACTCATTATGGGGACAAAAAAGAAATTGTTTAGCCTTCTTTCCCTCCACACCTCATTTAAATGGGGGAGGGGTTATGACATGATTTCAGTTTAAATGCCTCATTTTATTTCAGTTCTGATTTTTCTTTAATATAAGGAGGCCAAAATAAATGTGGAGCAACTTCTCAGAATAGTATTCCTGTCCAAAAGTCACGCCGGACAGCGGAAACTGGACAGCTACGGGGATATTAAGCATCCCCGCCTACAGTTCTTAAATTCAGAATCTCATCCCCTCCCTTCTCGTTAAATGCAATTGTTCTGGTAGCTAACATTCACCTGTATAATGGCGGTAGGGAACAGCGGCTTCAGTTTTTCATGTCCCCACGACTTGCATACAAATGGTTCAACTGTATTAAAATTAAGTGCATTTGGCCAATAGGTAGTATCTATACAATAAGTCTCTAAGAATTTCCGTAACTTTTCTTATCTGAAAGGACTCAAGTCTTCCACTGCAGATAGATTGGAGACTTCACCCACTCACCCACGTTTTCTTTTTCTTTGTTTGTTTGCTGTCTGGATGGCTAACGAGCCTGTCTCCTTTTACCGTGGCCAATCTGAAGGCCTTCCTTGGAAGCGTTGTTTACAGTAATCCTTACCGAGAAAACATATACTGTCCTCCAGAACACCAAGTCTGAGGTGACACTAGCTTAGAGCTGTTGTTAAAGAGCAGTTACCAAGAAGCTAGGTGCATAGGTTTTCTCTGGTTCTTACATGAACCACCCACCTACCCTTTAAGTTATTATCTGGTCCGGGAGTGGGGTAAATTCTTTAGTCAGTGAATCTTAAACTTGACACCTGTGCATTCGGTTCTGTGAATACTGCCCTTTTCGGGCCGGGTTTCTTCCTCCCCAGCCTGCACTGCTCAACCGTAAACCCAAATTAGTGTCAACTGAAAGGAGGTTTCAATATAGTCCTGTCAGTATTTGTGGTGGCCTTCGGATTAGACAGAGCCCTCATTTCTAGTCAGTGGGGTCCTGGCCCCAGAGCCATCTCTGAGACTTGTACCACGGGTGTTTTACTACCAGATCATTACCCACCAAACTTCCAATTGTACACCTCCCACAGGAAAACAGACACCAGAACTTGGGTTGTGGGCACTACCAGACTGACATGGCCAGTACAGAAAACTAGGGAAGGAATGATGTTTTGCACCTTATTGAAAAGAAAATTTTAAGTGCATACATAGTTAAGAGCTTTTATGGTGACAGGAGAACTTTTTTCCATATGCGTGCATACTCTCTGTAATTCCAGTGTAAAATATTGTACTTGCACTAGCTTTTTTAAAACAAATATTAAAAAAAATGGAAGAATTCATATTCTATTTTCTAATCGTGGTGTGTCTATTTGTAGGATACACTCGAGTCTGTTTATTGAATTTTATGGTCCCTTTCTTTGATGGTGCTTGCAGGTTTTCTAGGTAGAAATTATTTCATTATTATAATAAAACAATGTTTGATTCAAAATTTGAACAAAATTGTTTTAAATAAATTGTCTGTATACCAGTACAAGTTTATTGTTTCAGTATACTCGTACTAATAAAATAACAGTGCCAATTGCAAACGTGTGTCTTTGCCTTTTGTCAGGTCGTCAAAAAAAGACGAGGCAGAGAAAGTGGTCCTAATTCTTACCTCCTTCATAATTTAACCCCGCCATGATCTCAGTTTTCCCTGGGTAGGTCAGTGGTGGTGGAAGTGACATGACCTATTGCCTCCCCTACCAATTTTTTTTGGGGGGTGGGTGTCCTGGAGATGATGTTCTAAGATAAAAGACACACGTCCACATCTGATGTCTTGTTGAGATCATGTTTACATTTCCGATCTGAATACTGCTGTTCCTGTAAGAGGTATTTGTTGCTAAACATTTGGCAGCTTCATGGGCTCATGTGGCATAGTCATTACATCCTCTATAGTTTCATTGTAAACCGGTTAGTGTCTGAAAGTAGGAAATTCATTTATGTTTCTGTAGCTCATGCTTGCTAGAAACTCAATGAGCAGGGATCTCCTGGCATGATTGTCTTCAGAAGTGCTGCACTGTAGTTTTCAGTGGGCCCGCCTTGCGAAGATGCGGCTTCACAGAAAACAGTTCCTCAAGGACCCGTGACTTTCGGGTGGATCACCCCAGTGCCCATCTCCAGTCTTTCCAGCCGTAAGGTGACACAGAGATGGGAGAGAACTCTTGGGTTAAACTCAGAGTTTCACTTCATCCAAGGAGGAATGAGAACGCTTTCCTTTTACTATCTTCTTGGTTAGGTGTTTGGGGGACATCCAACTAGGACTCTCGTCTTCCAAGACTTAAGAGTTGAGGTCCTGACACATCATACAAAGTGTGCGAAAGAAGGCGTGTTAAACCAGTGCCAATTAGGTAAGAAGGGCCGCCCCGGGTCCTCCCCCAGAGTAGCCTGGCAAACGGGCCAGCGTGCTGCGGGGCAAGTCCGGTGACGGAGTCTGAATCTCTGCCTTCCCTTTCTGTTTTCACGAGATGCCAGTGGTGCTATCTATGGCTGTGATACTTACCTCACACAGAGCAGCAGCGCAAGGAGAATGGCGTCGCGTTCCCTGGCTCCTTCCCCTCCCACCTGGCACAGCAAGCCCAGTGGCTGCATGTGTCATCTCAGGGTCCCATTAGGATACCTGGTCTGAGGGACACTCCAGTGTGGGCTCCCTCGGCCCATTCCTATTGGAGGCTCCCCAGGCCCATTCCTATTGGAGGCAGAGATGAACTTGCAGAGGCCAAAGTAACAGAGCCTTAGAAGTTCTTCTCTTTATGAAACCTTTGCTTAAAATGGTCCTGAGCAGCTTTTGGCTTTGTAGTAACTCAGTCGCCACTTCCCGAAAAACTGGACTGCAAGGGACCTGCCTGTGGTTTGTGGAAACACAGAGCTAGTCTGCAAACGCTTTACACCACAGGGGCAAAGCAGCATGTGTCCCTGCAGGGAGCATAGTCCTAAGGGGTGCCATCGTGGGCAGACGGGTGTTACCCTCCCCGATCATTCGGCACAGAACAGTTCTAACTTGTAAGCCAATACCTTCTAGGATGCCACTGGTCAAAGCTTTTGCTGTTTTCCAGTGGTACTGCACCTGCTAATTTCTTGGTAGATAACCTTTCAATGAAACATCCTGTGAAATTTCAAAACAATTTATAACCTCTTTAAGAGAGGCCATCCTGACAAATTGGGCCTGAGAAGGGAAGGAAAAGAAAACAAAAGGAAAAGCCAGGACAGGGACAGCTTCCTAGAAGTGGCAACAAACTGTAGCAAGAGATGACTTGTTCCCAAAAAGCACATGCAATAAAGGTTTCAGTGAAAACACATCCCCATGACCTTGTGAGCATAAACTGGGAAAATAATTCACGTCCATATGAACAGTCAGTTGCTTTTGTTCTTTTCCAGCAACCAAAAGCTGGAGGGAGGGATGCCAGTCACTCCCACCCTGGCTTCTCTCCACACGCCGTGCCTCCCCTCCCAAGGTGACTTGTCTGCCCACAGCCAGAGTGGCTCGCCACTGGCCTGTCCAGGAAGGCAAAGAAGTCCTGAGTACCCTATACAACGTGGGTCCTGCAAATGCAAACTCCGGCACTCAATCAAGTCTTAAGATAATAGCATTATATTAAAGTGAAACTGTTTTCCTTTAAAATAGAAAGAAAAAGAAAGAAAGGGAGGGAGGAAGAAAAAGAGAAAGAAAAAGGTACGAGTGTTGGTTTTAACAATGAGGTTATGAGTTCTAGGTGGCTGGGCTCTGACCACTGGCCCCATTGTCTGGGCCCCAAGAAGGCACGAGGGAGAGCCCCAAAGCCTCCAGGCACAGCAGGGAGGAGGAAGGATGCAGCATTCCACCGTTTGGAGCAGCCAGACTAGAGGGAGATGGGAAAAGCAGGTGTGCGTGGGAGCGTCCACTCGCGCCGACGTCACTTCCTCTCATCCTCGGGGTTAGCTGAACACGGTGTTGTGCTGTTGGGTCACCCGGATGAACGTTGCCCTCCTGCTGAGCTCTTTGAGTTTGGCGGCCCCCACATAGGTGCAGGTAGACCTCAGTCCTCCGAGAATATCCAGAATGGTGTTTTCTACATCTCCTCTGTACGGGACTTCCACAGTCTTACCCTCAGAGGCTCTGGAAGAAAAAGGAAGTTTTCTTTTTATCTAGTTTCTTTTTCCTGGCTAACTCAGCTAGAATTGTTTCCAGCTATAGCACTTTGAAGATAGCTAGACACCATTCCTGCATTTCTTCTACCAGATGCATCTCAGACGGACACGTTCCTCCCACCCAAAGGACACAGGCTCACTGCTGACTGCCCGGCACACAAGGAACAGGAAATTCTTAGCTAGCAACAAGTGAAGGAGCTGCAGGTCCCCACCATCCTGCACCGTGACGTTTTCTTCAGCGATGTGCCTCCACTCTGCCCAAACAGAAAGCAGCTCCGCCTTTCCACTCCACCCGAGGATGGACACCAACCTCCACATGACCGAGAGCCCAGAACGCCCACTGGGGAAAAGCACACTTGGCAGATTACCTCTGGCAACAACCTCCTGCTGCCTACTCTGCTTGCCCTCCTGCATCCAACAACCAAAAAAGCCCAGAGCCCTGCCCCCCGGCGTGCCAGCTCCATGATCAGAAACCAAGTGTCTTCAAAGGGGCGACCAGGAGAAAAGGAGGACATTAAATGGATAACTCAGGCCCGACTAGGTTACATGGAAACCACCAGCAAGATGCAGTGGCTCCGCTCTGACAGCTGCCTGTCTTTCTGTGGCACACTTTGTAGGGCACCCCCCACCCCCATCTCGCCTCCCTATTCTCTCACATGACCTATTGCCCTGGGCATAATTGGAGGTCTGAGCAAGGTAGAACCAGAGTAGAATCAAGAACTGTCTTAGCATGGGAGGCTGCGGGGTTTTGGAAAGCATGTTCCACATTTTCAGAAGAGCATTTAGAAATGCAGGTCTGGCAGGAACACTAAGCAACATCTAAGTTGCTGCTAAGCCCTGCTAAGCCCCCGTCCCTCTCTTCACAAGTCCAAGTAACACGGCTTCATTCCACACGCCAGGTCCCCTTCCTGCAAAATGGGGACACAGTCGAGACTGCATTATAAGAAGAAAGACTTATAAGAAGGGGCATTACAAGAAGGAAATCCGAAAGCTATGCCACACTCTAGTTCTCATTGAAGGGCCGGACACATGCTAGCAAATACCAAAATTCCGGAACTTTTGTGGTTGTTCTCTTCAACTGGAAGAGAAAATAGCATCTCTTGATCAGACACTCATTACCTAGAATTTCACAAGGCTGTTAACTCTTGTTTGCTGAATGTGTAAGACTATCTGTGGGTGAAATCTAGCTATTTAAGCCATTGGCTAGATGCAGGGCTGGTCTAGCAGCTGGTTTAGAGTCCCAAGCTCAGAAAGCCAAAGTCACTGGCCACACCCAGGACGGTTCAGGGCATGGCATTCTGTAACCAGAGACAGGCATCTGTGCATATGTGCCTGCAATGATTGACATTTCATTACCATAAGACATTTCCATGGCCTTCCCGGGGCTTATTGGAAATTATCCAGGTTCTCATCATAGTAGCTCTGCTAACTGGTGATATCACCCTTTACAAGTCATTTATTGTTGATGCTTAAGTCTGCTCATCCATAAAATGAAGGTCCTTTGATCTGCCTCCCAGGGACAGCACAAGAACGAAATAGTTAATGATTGGGATAACTAGCAAAGCATAAATAACTAGGCCACAATTAAATATAATGTCAAAGTAGAGAATCATTCTCGTGACGAGATCATGGTCATGAGGCTGCCAACTGCCAGAAAGGAAGAGACAGGCACACAGAGGCAGGACAGATGCAGCCTGATTAAGGTTCTAATTTCTTTAGCACTTTCCTTCCTTGTCTAAAGATGATTTGAATCCAGTTCCAGAACCGAGTCTTGATACCCCTGAATCTTTTTTTTCTTGTTATGTCTACACCCTGCTGAAATTGCAGGAGACAATTTTTTTTTCTTTCCTCCTTGGCTTCTGTTTGTGCTCTAGCCTGGTCTGGCCTTCCGAGCTACAATTTTTCTTAGAACCCAAAACAGATGCAACAGCCAGAGGGCAAAAAATATCACAGATTTCTCCCCGGGGGTCTTTCGGGTCAAGATCAGATAGAGACACATGTCTATACTTCCCAGGCCTGGATTCAGCAGAAACCAGGAGAGGGACAGAGCCACCCTCTTCTCCTGCAACCACCTGCAGGCCAGAATGCACTAAGTCCTGGCGGCTGCCTGTACCCATCCTCACGACAGGCCTGCAGCCCACAGGTTTCACTCAACCGTGACTGTTCCATGTACATTCACTGCATGGGCCCTTCCGATGGTGACAACAGTTGCTGGGAAAGCACTAAGCTTCTTGGCCATAGATCCAGGGTAGCACTGAGGCAGTAATCCCAGGGCTCTGCCCAACTGTGCAGCCTCCTCCATTAGTGACCAGTGAAACAGGGCCTTGAGGCCACCTGGAAGGAGCATGCCTCTGTTTCTGACTGATGTTGTCCCCCTCTCTCGTTCCCAGCCCGCCTTCCCCATACGATAATATCATCTTTATTGAGGTTACCCCATTAGAGAGAAAAAGACTGGGGAGAATGAGAATTGAAATCAGTCCACCAGAACCCTACTAAAGAATAGAATTCTGGGCCGGGCGCAGTGGCTCACACCTGTAATCCTAGCTCTCTGGGAGGCCAAGGCGGGCGGATTGTTTGAGCTCAGGAGTTCGAGACCAGCCTGAGCAAGAGCGAGACCCCGTCTCTACTAAAAAGAGAAAGAAATTAATCGGACAACTAAAAATATATAGAAAAAATTAGCCGGGCATGGTGGCACATGCCTGTAGTCCCAGCTACTCGGGAGGCTAAGGCTGAAGGATTGCTTGAGCCCAGGAATTTGAGGTTGCTGTGAGCTAGGCTGATGCCACGGCACTCTAGCCTGGGCAAAACAGTGAGACTCTGTCTCAACAAAAAAAAAAAAAAAAAAATAGAATTCTGTGGGGCACCCTCAACCCCAGACCCTCCCACCTATAAATCTTAGTGGAGTTCTGACATTTTACCTCTAGCCTGGTACAAGCCTCATAGGATGCATCTGAACCCCATGTCCTCAAAATGAGCTTCTGGGTATGGAATAAGTGGTAGGAAATAGAGGGTGTCAGCTATGAAGGGCTTAGGTTTCCACCCCAGCACTGGGACAGGGCCTGAAAACTGGAGGGAGAACCCCAAGGCTTCCTAGAGAAAGGCCATCAGCCTATTCACTGCCGACTTCCTTCTGAGTATGCAAGACCTTCTGTCCTGTTTATGTTTCGAAGCTTGTCATCAGCGCTCACTCTGATGAGAAGCAACAGCAGGCTCTATGGAGCAGGGCGAGGTAGCGAGTATATTCTGCCAACATGTTTGTAAAACAGACATGCACAGTTAAAATGGGAAGTGCAGCAGAAATGGCCAGGGTGTCTTTGGGGATCAGGGATTAAAAAAAAAAAAAAAAAAAATATATATATATATATATACACACACACACACATATCTCAGCAGAAGCGAGCACCACATCTGCAGCTGAAATGGCTGAAAATGCTGCCTGTGTCAACTGCCAGAGCCTGGAGGCAGGTGAGAGGCTGTGGGAGCTATGGCAGGTAAAACATGGCACTCTTCAGGCAAGGCCTGGCCATGTGTGGTGGTCCAGACCACACCCATTGCTTCACGTGCAATGGGAGATCCATTCTTCAACCCAATCCTCGCAGCCTGAGCTTGTCTCAGGCCAGAGATTGGAGGTTACAGGGATAGATAGCTCCGCAAAGGCTGACGTTCTAGAAGCTCAGGAACCAGGGTCAAAGACCAAACGTTAGAACAAAAGATTCTCTAAGCACCCCTATCTAGAAGGGTTTAGGAGTTCTACCTCAAGAACTGGGGGCAGAGACCAATATATACAGATGTATTTCTTATTATTTCACAGTATTGAACAATCCTTATTATTGGAAGGACAAGGCAATCATCCCATCCATCTCCAGAAGTCTGGGGTGTCTGTGCAGGACTGGTACCCGCTCACGTATACCTCTAGTCACACTTCTAACCTGTCCCCAAACACTTCTGCTCTGCACTTGCTTTCAGAGGCCCCAAACATTGTATATGTTAGTTGAATAAAAATAAGGGCTCTTTAAAAAGAGCCCCTTCCCACGGGACTTTAATGTACCCAGAGCTGACCCTCAGACCTGCTTCCATCCTATCTCCTTACGAAGCAAGAGAGACGAGGCCTGGCCGGTGAGCGGTGGCGGCCCCTCACCTGTACTCGGCCACTCCTCCAGCGTGCTTCTTCATGGCCGTTTCAGAGCTCATCCCGTAGAAGAGCTTGAGCTTCCGTCCGTTCCTCTCAATCAGTTCTCCTGCGCATTCGGTATGGCCCGAAAACATCCCTCCCAGCATGACAAAATCTGCTCCGGCTCCTAAACGCCAAGGAACAAAAGGAAGACACAGACAGAAGAGCTCAGGGAAAATGGACTCTGGCAACATCCGAGTCCTTCCGAAACTCACCCTTCCTCCCTACCCCTCAGCTACAGCCAAGAGAAAGGCTCAGCCTTCCCTTCTGGAAAAAGGGAGAAGGCCCCCCATGCAGGTGAAGAGGGGCATGGACACTGGGAGAAACAAATGCAGCCTACCAAAGGCTGGTGGCCATCACGCTGGACAGGCACACGGTCACTAACGACCGACTACGACCACCTCCCGAACAGAGGTCTCCCCCTGTTAGAACCAGAGAAACACTGAGAATTGCGCAGCACCTTAGGAAGAGCATTGTTGAATCTTGTACTCGGTACAATGACTTCTCTGTGATGTGGCCATCGGGCATCTGGCCTCTAAGCTCTCAGGACTCTGATGCTCTGTCCTTCCAGGTCACGAAAGGACCTCAGAACAGACTGACCTTCTTACACTGGAGACTGGGCATGGAGGAGAGAAGCCACTATATTATATAAGTAGGTCAAACTCTGTGCACCTCCATTATGAAGAATGTTAGACTTCCAGAGTAAATACTATGCCATACTGGTCACCAAATGACATGAAATTTCCAGGACAGGGACAAAGGAAACAGGGTATTGAAGTTGCCTTTGGAGGCTATGTGGGAACAGGACTGGGGCTGGCTCTGTGTTTATCCCAGCGCGTGGCAGGGTAGATACTGAATAAACTACCTGGCAAGAAAGTAAAAGGAATACATGGAAGAAACAATAAAACAGTGACCGTTCCGCATCCTGCTCATAGACAACCGTGCAGAAGGACTCTTCACGGAGTAGTAAGTAAGAAACTGCTACTGCAACTTCTCCTGAGTAAGTCCTGCCAAGGGTTTACTTTTAGAATAGAAGGAGACGAAAGCAGGATACAGGTGTATTAAGTAACTAGGATGAAGGGCGAGGTTGTGGGAGGAGGGGAGGTCGTCTGGCTAACCCTGATGAGGAAGAGAAAACGTAGGAACCCCTGAAAGGTGGTTTCTGATGCCTTCCATCTGGTCATTTAAACATTCGGCATTTTAAAAAGGGGTGCTCTGCAGGGCTGGCCCCTTGGCCTGGCACTCAGCCGAGCAAGGCACAGCAAGACCTTGCCCTGTGAAAGCAAGCGCTGAAGACACTCCCTGCCAGGGTTCCCAACCCGAATGCTGGTTGCTTGGTCCCCGCTGTGACTGTAAGAGGACAGATGATGACTGACGTGCAAACCAGGGGCAGAGCACCTGCTGAGGGAGTGTCAACAGCAAGAACACAGCACAGACCCACTTAAAGATCACTCTGAAGTGGTCCCCAGTTATTTTCATTTTGGAACGCTCTCGTATCCTTCCCTAATCAGAGTGTCCCCTGACATGGTCCCTTCCCCCTGCGTTCTCCCTGCCCTGCCCACTACTGTAGGACCATGACCTCATCATTCCCTTCCTGGGCCCTCAGGACTCTCAACTATAAAATCTGCAACCTGGAATAGATAAAAGAGCTATATGTTCCCTTCCACAGCTAAGATCTATGATTAGGATGGGATTAAGTCCCATTTTTTGAAATTCTTTGGGTTGCTATGAAACCCTGCTGCTAAGAAAACTGCCCATGTTTTCCTTTGTCACTATCAGGGTTTTTATTTAAAAAAAATTTTTTTTAAGCGGAATTCCTAAGACAGAAAGTTTCCCGCCATCAAAAAAAAAATAATTTTCTTTTTCCTTTTTTTGCTGGCACCAGAAAAGGGTAGGGACACGGGAACTTTGTTTCTGCCTCCTGCCAGCACCCTGAACTCCCACTGAACCGTCTGGAACCCCCAGCCGTGCAGCCAGCTCTGACTTCTGAACTTGGTTTGCAGTTAAATGGCCGGCACAGGGCTTGGCAGCCCTATTTTACTGTTATGTTGAGATGCTGGACTTCCTAGTGCTTTCCCAAGAAAAGCCCAGGACACTCCTCCCTTAGCCCCCTCCCCCTCCTGAGGTCCCACTGGATGGCGGTGGGCACTGCTGCCCCCTAGTGGGAAGCAGGCTCCTCGGTCTGGGGAGAAACTGCTGCAGGGATTCCTCCTGTCCCTCCCACAGGATTTCCCCAGGTTCAGTCCAAAAGACCCTCTCTTCAATCACTACTACAGGTCAGACCTGGCACCACCCTCTTGGACAGGTCCCCCAGCCTTCTCGTCCCTGGGATTAAAAAGCCATGACTTGACCTACACCTAGCTTGCAGGATGTCACCCCTCGATCCATCACCCGGGCACTTGGCCTGCTCTGCTACCAGCCAGAACCAAACCAATGCCAGGATTTCGGCCAACTGGGGCTGAAACCCAGGGAGAGGAAACTGCAGACAGGCCCAGAACTTCCCCAACAGGTGCCCCCCTCCTCATGCAGGTTCCCACGCTGCAGAGCTGCAGGGAGCTCCCTCCCTCGCTCCTCCCCTCCCTCTGCACCAGGGCCCAGCCTTACCAAAGGCTTTGGCGACATCTCCTGGACACGTGCAGCCTCCATCCTGCAAAAAGGAAAAAGCAAGGAGAGGACATTAGCGGGCGCCCAGCCCCATGATGATCCGCAACTAGGAGTTGAGATCTACCACAGCCCCGCACACAGGCCCAAATCCCCCAGTGACTGTTGGACTGCTGACTTCTGACCTCGTCGTTTACTCCCTTTGATGTTGCACCTTCCACTCCCCAAGACCCATCTGGGTTTCCTCTGGAGGTCAGAGGCTGGCACCATCCACTGCTCACCTGCCCACCCAGGGTCGGGCGCCCCATCCGAGAGCAGAAGGCAGCAAGAACCGCTGAGCTGCAGAGGGCTCAGCCCCAGCCCCTGCCGGCCCCTTACATAACTCGCCTGGCCCCTCCACCACCCGTGCTCATTCTCACCCACAAGTCGCCTTTCCCTCTCTGCCTGGTGTGAGGTGAGATTTATTTAGCACAAGGGCTAAATTCTTTTGAAAGCCAAGAAAAGGACATTGACTTAGTTCCTTATTTTTCCAGCCATCCGTGTGTCTCCTATTTCTCATGCACAGTGCACGGTAACCTTACGATCAAACAACCATCCTTGATGCCTACTCTTCCCACACAGAGCACATGCTTAGGCAGGTTTAATGCGGAGCAGGACAGTCTTTCTTGGGGTGTTCAGCTGTGGGGGTGATGATTAAACACCAGCAACACAGTACAAGGTCTCTAGGATGCAGAGGTTGTTGCATTTCCTTACAAACACGAGAGACACAAAAGGCCCAGGCTGCTATCTGCTACTCCCAATACAACCCGGGTGAAGTGGAAGGAGAAGGTAACCCAGAACAGCAGCCGCACATACAGGGACAGCCAAGAAAGCCACGGCACACGGGAAGACAGCAACAGCTTCAGGGCTCACGTGATGGTGACAGAGCCCAGTGCTCAGTATGGGGTCCAGGAGAAACACCAAGGCCTCAGAGGGAAGCACCTGTCCCCCAGAGGTGATCAGGCCCGCTTTGGGAAGAGACAGGAAAAAAGGCTACCTGGGGTACCTTGTGCTACAACTTGCAGGAAGGTGCACACACCTCTGGAGACAGAAGACGTCTACATAGAATTGGGATGAACAACTTTGCAGAGAGTATTTCCAACCGAGAACATAGGGTCTGTGACTCAATCCTCTTTTTCTATTTGCTCATTAGGCCTGTCACGCCAGGAGCTAGAACTCAAACACTGCTTCATTGTATCTTTGCAGTTCTGATCAAAAGCTACGTGTGAAGGCTCAATCTTTTTCTCTGCAAACATTTACTGACCACAATTATTTTCTCAATTATATTATTCATGCATGGCTCCTCTGACCCCCAGAGGGCACAGGGTGCTGAGGAATGAGTATCTCAGACGCAGTTTCTCCATGTAAGGTTTCTGGCCCAAACTCTCCATGTGAAGACAGGAACAGGGATTGTGGCTCTATATACCTTCTCAGTGCTTCGAAGTTCTAGCAGTTACTTACTTTCCCTCTCAACCGTACAACCTCAACAGGCCCTTCACTTGCCCCACCAATTAATTTTAAAATGCTTTATCTCTTTGTCAAAACCAGCTCTACACAATAGGGTTCCAAACATACAGCCTCGAATAGATTAAATAAACTCATGCTCCCACTAAAACAGGTCCTGTACATGTAGGACTTAAAAAAAAAAACCCAACATTCTTTTGCGTACTCATTTGCATTTCCTGTGGGGTCCTGAAAATTCCATGAGTGTGGTCCATGATAAGGCCTGACTCAGAAGCCTCATGCTAACAGGACCCCAAGAAAATGAGCCCTTTTCTCCCCAGGACAGGCCAAGATGTCCACAGTTAATGCAACTGTATGATGTGCCACAAAGAGGAAATTGTGTTTACAGCGTCACCTGTATACACAGTGTATATGCATTTATGAGATGGACAAAGTAAACCAAACAAGCCAGATGGTACATTTAAACAAGAGCAACCCAACTTCACACGGTGCCTTAAGACAAAGCAGTCTGCTCCCTGCTACTGTTTACGTGTAATTTCCAAAAGTGTTCAAAGTGGCCTCGCATGTTTGGGGGGCGGGGGAGACAGAATAGTTGGAGCACTCTCTGGCAATCTAAGACACACACTTACCCTCACACGTAAATATTCATAGCTGCTGGAAGGTTATTAACATAACACAACAACAATAATTTGGGAGTATTTTGCCCTGTGCGGACACCCAAAGTAGCAATTTACAAGGGTTAATTTTTTGTTTTTCCAAAACAGTTAACATTAAAGTACAAAAGGCATCACATGACATGAGTGGTGACTTGATTTGTGAATTGGCGACATGCCTCTTTTGCTTAAAAATACTTGCTCATGCCTACAATAGGGGCTGGGAGAGCAAACCTAGAGTAGGCAGAGAAAGGAGTTCAAATCGAGTGCCTGCCAAGAGCCAGCAATTATTACGAATTTAAAAGTCATTTTTCTATTCAAACACAAGAACCTGAAGTTGATTTTTATAGATAGGGGAAAAATGAGGCTCAGAAATGTTGAATGACTTTCCTAAGGTCACACAGCTGTAAAAATGAAAGGACAAGATTATAACCAGTGATTACTGGAAAATGATAGCATTTCTGGCAATAGTTATTTTGTTTTTTATGTTTATTTGCACTTCTAACTTGTCCTAGGTTAAACAAATGTTGTTGGCAAATTTTTCAAGCCTCAAAAAGAAAAACCCAGAAGATTATTTGAATGAATTTTTTTAAGTCTAAATAGTGGTGTGACAAGACAAAATTAACTGGTCAGACCTTAATCTTCGCCTATGCAGGGAGTATCTTGAATTTTTCCGCTCCCTGCCCCTCTGAAGCCCTCGTGGGCCACAATAAATAGAAACATGACTCAAGCCCAGCCTCTTGGGTATAAGCAGCGCAGGCTGAACAGACACCATGCTGTGGCTTCCTTTTGAACTTCAACAGCACGGGTGTGCTAATTCAGCAACAAAAGTGTAAAATGAGACAGCTGGAAGGAAATTGGACAAACTGGCAGGATCCAAAACATCTGACAGGTTTCCAGCAGGCTCAGGACGATCAGCAGGTGGGAGAAACCTGCTTGTGTTTCCTTAGACACAGGGATGGTGGGGGCTGTGGCTGCTTTGAAGGAATGAGCTGAAGTCAAGGGTCCAAATCCCACATATGAATAAATCCATTCACGTGGTCTTCTGGCTACAACTTGAACTCCTAATCCCATCTCGGGGATCTCTCGCCATTGATGGAAAAGCAAGCACCCAGAGGACACAGGTAGGATCGGAAATGCTACCTTCTATAGCACAGTACCACAAGCCCGGGCTGTCACTGTCCCTAATGGACAAATTCAGAGGAGTTGCTCCCCTAGGTGCTAGCATATAAGACCTGGTTCTGGAACACTAACCCAGCCAGTGCAATCTATAAGCCTCTACTATAGAAGCCAGTGGTTCTCAAACTTGAGGGCACATCAGAACTACCTGGAAGGCTCCTTAAAGCAGGTTCCGGGGCCTCATCTTCAGAGTTTCTGACTCAGTAGGTTAGGTCTGCAGTGGAGCCCAAGAATTTTTTTTTAGAGACAGGGTCTCATTCTGTCACCCAGGCTGGAGTGGCATGATCATAGCTCACTACAACCTTGATCACTCAAGTGATCCTCCTACCTCAGCCTCCCCAGTACCTGAGACTATAGGCCTACACTATGTCACCCAGGTAATTTTTTAATTTTTTTGTAGAGACAGGGGTCTTGCTCTGTTGCCCAGGCTGGTCTTGAACTCCTGGGCTCAAGTGACCCTCCCACCTCGCTTCCCACAGTGCTGGGATTACAGGCATGAGCCACTATGCCTGGCCCCATGAATTTCTAACAAGTTCTCAGTTAATTCTAACGCTGCAGGTCTGGGCACCACACTTAGAGAACTGCAGAAATAAGCTATGAGTTAGGTGGTGCTGTGTAAAGAGACCCTCAGCTGATTTCTAATGAGCATCACCTGTAGTGCAGAGCGAGCCTACTTCAGCCAGAGCCCTGTAAACTAAGCAAGTTTGAAGTCTCTAGAAAGACATGAGTATGGTATCTCTGAACAAGTTCACAATAAAACTTTATTTTTGACCTCCACTAATTTGGAAATGGTGGTCATTTAAGTAACATATATGATTAGGGTCTGTATTTTGATTAATAGAGAAGACCGATAGTGAACATTATTAGGTAATAGAGGCATGACTAATTACAGAGAGGCCAACTTCTGAAAGAGTTTAATTAGCCAGGATGGGGTCCAGGAATGTCTATTTATAAAAGCTTGTCTGGTCATTCTCACGCAGCCGGCCTCAGATGAGGCCGCACTCAGGATCTGTGAACTGCTGGCATCCTGGAGAACAGTATAACTGCTTGGGCACTTCTGCGAGCTGAATAACCTACCTTAGCAGACGGACAGTTCTATGTCAGCCTTTTCCATACTAGTCGTTCAATAAATGGGTGTTAATTTGTTCACTGCAGCAAAAGCTAAAGAAAGAGTGTTGAGTGCAGGGTCTTAGATCTGTCATTAACCAATAAACCTTAGATCATTTATTCTAGGCTTTCACGCCACAGTAAATGCTCAATAAACACTTGCTGAATGAATGGCTGGGTGGGTGAAAACGCTGGAGGAAGAATTAGGAGCACAAGCACTCAGCACAGACAGCGAGTCAAGGACCTGGATCCTCACTTCGATTGTTACCTGAAAGTCACGAGATGGGAGGCAAAGGCTGCAGCGCCCACACGCCGTAGTTAGGCTCAAAGGAGATGAAATCACCAAGGGGTTTTAAAGAGTGTAATAATGCCCTAAAAAGCAGGTCCAGAAATCAAATCTCAATAGCCCGAAATGCTGAGCAGAAATCAACAAGCTATCAATCCCCAGGGATACGTAATTTCCTGCATTTGGGTGTTTGTTTGGTTTTTTAAATCACCCATCAGTGATTGAATACAGGAACTTGGCTCAGCAACCGTACAAGGGGAAAGATCTGAAGGTTTATTTTAATATATTTAGTGGGAGTCAACATTGTTTTAGAACCACTAAAAATATGCCACTACTTCAAATTTGTCCCTCACACACAAACACACACACACACACACACACACAGGCAGTCCACAGGTTATGGACGAGATACCTTCCTGAGAACATCTTTAGGTCAGATTTGTGTGTAACTCAGATCCCTGAAGAACAGTGCATATACAGTGGTAATAATAATGGTAGTAACAATACTATAATGGCTCATAGGTGGTAATAATAATATAGTAATACTGCAATACCCCAGTACTAGAATAATAAGTTACGCAAACTACTGTGTTCTTTCTTTTCATTCAAACAAACAGAACATAAAAACAAACTCATATAAAAAGTTTAGATACGAGATAGACATTTCAAAAAAGAATATTAAGGGTTAACAGTCCCCTAATGTTGCATCGACACTAGGCTAATGGGAATGTTACGCTTATTTTGATCTTCTAACCAAATCGATAACTTTTCTATTTCAATAATTAATCCACTACATTGCTTAGTAATAACTGATGCTTTCATTGGAGCACTGCCTTCATATGTTCCATTATTCTCACTTTGTCCTTTATAATTGTTCCCAGCGACTGAAACCTAATACTTAACCAATGGATGGTGGCGTCTCGCCTTTTCTCTGAACACTTAAAGACACTGCACCAGCAAACCCTTACGCCATGTGGATTTGTTTACAAGCGTGGAAGAAACTAGTTCCCAAGTTATTGATTTGATTACTTAATCATAAATAATCCTTATGGGGAACCTTGGGAGCCTGTTCGTAAGTATGGGACGCCTTAAGTCAGCGCATCCATCAACAGGGGACTGCCTGTATGTACATATACACGCACATATATAAAATAAAACGTTCACATAAACGGAAGACATTCTATTACTGTCCGTCAGCTCCAACATGTTCTGCCCTGCTCTGAGCATCTAGAGCTGCCACTGCTTGAGAGGTGGTCACACTGATGAAGCTGGAGTAGATGCTTGGGTAAGTTGAGGACAAATCTCGAGCTGGCACTCATTCATTCACGCGACCCTTAACCACACTTAGTGGCTGGTGGCTGTGGTGTCATTCGTGCAGGAGCTTCCTGAGGGTGCTGCGAGAACACCGTCTGCCTCTCCTCAGCTCCCTCCTTCCCATACATTTGCCAGCCCACAGAAATTTAACTCCTGCCCCCAACATGCCACTCCTAGTTCCCAAGAACCCCCTGGTTCCAGCACGGACCCCGCAGCCCACTCACTCTTGCTTCCCAGCAGTGCTCCCCCCGCCTCGCCTTCTGTGGTGTGGGCCGGCTGGTCTGCTCCTTGGCTCCCAGGCCAACCTCGCTTCTCACCCTCGCACCCTCCCCAGGCTCCTTCGTCCACTCCCAAGGCTCCCACGACCTTGGGGCTAACAGCACCCAGGTCTCCAGCCCGTGAACCCAATGCCTCGTGGATTTCCTCTTTGATGCCCCTCAAGCACCTTAAAATCAACACACCCCAAAGTGAACTCCATACTGACCCGAACCTCTTCCTTTGCAGCTGTTCCTGCTGTCAGTGAACCGGCAGGTGGGGCAGTAGCTCCTCCTCCTTTACCAGGTCCCCAAGCACTGGGGCAACTGCCCAGGCTTGTTTAATTCTGCCTCCTAAATGTCAGTCAGTTCCATGGATGGCTCTCAAGCCTGCTGCCACCACCTAGTGCAGGGCACCATGCCCTCCCGCCCGAATCACCCGTGTCTTCCCAGCTGGGCTCCCTTCTCCTCATCTAGCCCCTTCCTAGTCCCCCCAACGCAGCCAGTTCGATGTTTCTGAAAGACGAATCAACCCACTTGGCACCCTCCTGCTTAGACTTCTTCAATAGCTCCCTAGTGCTCTCAGGAGGAAGTCCCGACGCTGATGCCCACTGTGGCTCCCACAGCTCTCGTGCACACCTGCCCGGAAGCTTACCTCCCGCCACCCCCAACCCCTGCCCTTCCTGGCTCACACCCGACCCCAGACACAGGGACTAAGATTTGGTTCCCCAAAGCTTTTCAACCACCAGGCCTCTCTATCACACCCCAGGAAACCCTTCCCGACCTCGGAATCTGGGATACGCAGCCCGTAAGGGGTTGAACTGCGTCCCCTACAAAATCCACGTTGCCATCCTAACCCCTAGTACCTCAGAAGGTGACCTTATTTGGAAATAGGGTCCTTGCGAATGTCAACAGTTGAGAAAAGGTCAGCCTGGAGGACTGGTGTCCTTGTCAAAGAAGAAATCTGGACACAGATACATACACACACACACACACACACACACACACACACACACACACACACACGGAGAATGCCTCGTGAAGGCTGGAGTTGGGCTGCCACAAGCCAAGGGACTACCAGAGGCTCCTACAGAGGCCTGGAACAGACCCTTCCCCGGCCCTGCGGAGAGAGAGCGTGGCCCTGCCAGCACCCTGACCTCACACTTCTCGCCTCCAGAACTGCGAGGCACTGGATGTTTGACGCGGCAGCCCCAGCAGACCAGGATGCCCTCCTCGTGTTCCCAAGGTTGCCATGTATCGCCCCGCACACTACCCACGACCTCGGTGGAGTGCTGCCTGCTGGGCCTGCCGGAACCACAGTGCCCAGCTCCCTCCCATCCCAAGACACCCCTGCGCCCCCAGGCCCATGCGGAGACTCACGGAGATGATGTGCCCCTTCAGGCCGTGGGCAGAGTCGGCACACTCGATCACTGCACTCAGCTGGGGGTAGCCCACCCCTGTCTTGGTGCGGGTGGTGCACACGGAACCTGTGGACCCCACAGAGAGACAGTTATGCACGGGCAGAATGTGACATAAAACCAGCCCCCACCACCTTCACAGCCCTGCCTTACAGGCTGAGGGAGAAGCAGCCGTGGCAGAGGGGACGTGGCAGAGGAGGGGAGAGGAGGGGCCGCCCTGCCAGCGTGCTGGAGGTCACTGTGAACCACACCACCTGGCCACACACCCCCTCCGGCCCTCATTCCTGTCATCGCCTGCCCTCTACCATGCACGTCCCTGCCACTCTCCCCGTGGCAGCAGCTCCCACGCGGCGGCCGAGCACCCGCCTCTCCCATTCCCCTCTGCCTCCCTTCCCTGTCCCAGACAACCATGCTCTGCTTTAGGGGACCTCTCAGAATCCCCCCACAGCCTCGAACTTTCTTTACCTCCAAGCTCTGTCAAGCTACTCGCCTCTCTCAACCTTACTGCCGGCCTGTGAAATGGAAATTAAAGCACATACCTCCTGGGCTGGTGGCAGACAGCAAATGACATAAGGAGGGGAATGCCTTGGCCCAGGGCCTGGCCCGCAGAAAGCTCTGGAGAAAAGGGAGCGCACTGACCCCGCTCCTGGCCCTCACCTCACTCAGCTCCATGCTCGCTCTGGCATCTTTATCACAAGTCTCTGTGTTCAAGTCCCCCTCCCTGCTTCACCAGGCCAGCCACGTCATGCTCCCGCTGCTCCCTCGCTGCTGCCCACTGCTAGGGACAGGCAAGTCTCCTCCCACCTAGGGACTCTGCACATGATTGTCTCTCTCTCTCTCTCTCTCTCCACTCCCCCCGCCAGTCCCCCTCGCCTGGCCAGCCCTTTCTCATCTTTCCAGCTTCATTTTAAATGTCATTGCCCTAGGGAAGTTGTTCATCACAGCGCTTATTTCAAAAAGAGGCATTCAAAGAATTATTTATGTAAGGATGCCAAGGATCTGTTTCCTCTGCTGGGTGGTAAGCTCCATGGATATCCATTGTTGTCAGCGGGTGCTGAGAAGAGAGCCTGGTACATAACAAGGCGCTATAAATAGTCACCGAAAGAATGTGTGGGCTCAAGGATGAATGAGTCACCCACACCCGTCTCCACTGCAACTTGTTCAGCCCCTCCTGGCTGTCTTGTGGTGCCCATGACGGGGTCCTCTGGGGCCGGCTTAAAGGCAGACGGGAACTCCTCCCAGCCCCAGCCTCCTCGCCCACGCCCTGCCACTGAGCTTCCCACAAATTTCTCCCAGGGCTCTTCAGGGTTAAGATCGGATAGAGACACGTGTCTACACTCCCCAGGCCTGGATGTTGCGGAGAAACCAGGAGAGGGACAGAGCCTCTCCTGCAACCACCTGCAGGCCCAAATCCACTAAGTCCTGGCGGCTGCCTGTACCCATCCTCGCAACAGGCCGAGCCCACAGGTATCATTCCCACCGAGACACCCGGTGACTGGTCGTGTACTGTGCACAGCGGGGGAGGAGGTTTATAACCTCTGCTTCAGAATGGGCTCTTCTCCTCCTCTCCCACTCAACTGCTAGATCCAGCGGCGGAATCGGGGGCCTCAGCTGCACGGAGCCTACAGCTCTGCACACGGTGAGGGCCCTACAAAGCTCAGTCCAACTGCCTTTCTTGGAAACAGCCAAGGAAGAAATTTCAAATAAGGCACTGGAGTGGTCTTGATCAGCACTCAGGTGAAAGAAGAGATTGGTACATTATCTTCTCCTGATTAGAGGGCCGAAGGAACCCATTTTTAATACTTTTTCTAGTTCCCAGGAGTTTCTCAGTAATGAACCTTTTTGTAATGCCATCATTTAGATATATAAATACCCAGCATAAATACTATAAAGAATTTATGAGACTTAAATATGGTCTCGAATCAATTTAAAGTAGTTCCCATGCACCAGGCTCAAAGAAGGCCCCTGACTCTCTTTAGTCTTGTCTGTTCTAGATGGGCTGGGGTGGGGGGAGCCGCTGACGACACTCCTCTAGGGGAACAGAATGTACACAAAGAGGACGTGCGTGAAGGAAACACGTGCAGCTGAACGCTCAAGATGACATCAAGAAAAGCTCTTTAGGAGCCAAGAAACGGCTCACACACCTTCACATCCTAACCTGCACCCACCCAGCACAATGGTAGCTAACAGACACTCATCTGATTGAATAGGTGGCTGGTATTTTTTCTTTGGAAAAAAGTCTCCCTGTCTCTTAGCCTACTCTGTTATTAATCTGGTCTATTACAGCCTACCCTAAGGGTGAGCTCCTGCTAAGCAGGGACTGGGCCTTATCCTTTCTTTGACTTTCCAATAGTGACAGACAGACACCTAGGAAAGATCAGAGTTATCTTTCTTCTTGCTCAGAATACATTATGAACTGGCTTACGTGCGTGGCAGTATGAAAAGCCCAATCTTGACAATCTCCCTGGAAAAGCTTGGGTATTTGTACGAACCTACAGTTCTTCCTAACAGTCTCTTCCAATGCATGCTCTTCCCTTGGGGCCGATGACTGTGCCAAGTCACAATGGCATCACCTGCCTGTCAGCAGCACCTTTTGCCACTGACTCCTCTCATATTGGTTTATGGTTTGCTTCCTTTTTTGGTAGTGTCTTTTGAGTGGGAGATTTCTGTTTTAAATCTTTGCTGTTTTTTAGTCCCAACTGAAAATGTGTATCTTTTTTCCCTCTCTCCAATTTTACTGTCTGGTAAATAACGGATGTGCAAGGATGAATTTTGAAACATGGCAGCTCATCTTCAAGTATGGCCAAAAGGGAAGACGAACACCAACTAGCCCGAGAGAAAATGGCGCCACCCAGTGTAAGGACAGAAAGGCTCCATCTCATTCCTCCGCTCATCAGTGCACGGTCCTGGGAAAGAATGCCTGAGAGAAGGATACTGGAAAACTCTGTGACCATTGTGTATCAGGCGAGGAGCCAAGGGTGATCACTGCCTGGGCCACAGGTCAAATTCAAAGGTGGCCTCATTGCTGCAAGCTTATTGGCAATGTTTGATGCCCTTCAAACATTCACAAAAACTCAACTCGTTCATGTCCATTAACTATCCCCGTGGATTTTTCACTTCACCTTCCTCTTCAAGGTGTATGGGGTCATTAATGAAATCTGCCATCTTTTCTTCCACATTCATGTTCTGGAACCAGACCTTCATATTCTAAGCACATCCAAACTCATTTAGAAGAGCCCTGGGGGCATCAGAAAGCAGCTCAATGAATGATACTTCTCATCAGGGGCTTCCTACAGAAGCTTAATCAATGATGCTTCCAGAAAAAAAATGTGCTTTGAATCTGTGGATGAGTCATTCATGCATTGCCTTCCTGCCATCTCCAGGTCCCCCAGCCACGGATCCCATTCTCTCCCCTCCCCCACACCCTCTGCTGTGCTCCCAACGTGTCTTACCTGGTCCAACTCCCACTTTGATGATATCTGCTCCAGACAGAATAAGCTCTTCTACCATCTCTCCAGTTACCACGTTCCCTGCCTGAGACAGAAAACACAGCTCACAACCATGAACTACTCCTGGTGACTGAGGACCTCTACACCTGAACACAAGGATGTGCATGTCCTAAAGTCAAAGAAAGCCTAGGGGACACTGGACAAAATTCCTCAGTCTACTTAAGTCTGACACTGGTGGGCCAAAGTGTTCTGGTTTTCTTCCCCACTAAATAAGAACACAGAATTTGACACGTGGAGACCACTTCCGGGAAAGACCCCTGGGTGAGCTGCTGGCATGAGAAGGCACAGCACTATGTAATTTTAGAACTAGAGGATATCTTAGAGTGTCTAAGTCAGGGCTTTTCGGACGTCTCAGCAATAGACAAAACAAAATCTTACAGCGAACCCAAATACATAAAATAAGCAATAAAACACTCTTCCGTGATTCAAATCTTTATTGTTGGGCATAAAATGCTTCGTAATTTGTAAAACCCCTGAAGAACCTCTGTGGAACTCCAGGGAGCCAGGATAAGAAAATACCCGGGTGCCCCGCTCTAGGGCTGGGGTTCCCATCTAGACAAGAAAAGGCAGATGGGCCCTTATGGACCACATAGCATTGGCACATGTTCTGTTTATGGAACACAAGGCTCTGGCCCGAAGAATAAACATAGAAGCCAGGAAGCAGCGGGATCTATCAACCAGAAGGATGTGTCTGGTTTGGAAATAGTACAAGTTCTTTCACTGCAGGGGTCTGGGAGTGCAAAAATAGCCCTTTTTATTACAACTCACTGCCCTGTGGAGTCTTCAGCTGGTATATAGGATACTTGGCAAGACGCCCTGACTGAGTTTTCACAACTGTGCAAAGTCATGGTTTGCAAAATACATCCCTACTCATTCTGCTCGTATTTTCTGCACAGAAGCCCAAGTGTCTTTTTGCTGAATTGATTCCCAGAGGGAATTTTTCATTTTTAACCTAGAAAAGGTGACTTTTCACTTCCTATAAAAGAATGTTGGAAAAAAGTGATGAGGAAGGCTCCAAGTTACTTTAATCCAAACAGCAGCTGACAATGGAAACTGACAGCCCAGAAAGAGAACTAGAGGGAGATTAAAGAATTAAAGTAAAAGTTGTATCCCCCCAAATTCAGAAAACCTTAAATCCTTGCAACAAGCATAAAAGTGAAAAAACATAAATACAGAGCTGTTTACACAAAACTAAAAACTTACATACACAGAAACACACATAGGATCAACAAATAACCAGATAGAGATCTGCAATGATGACAGAGGGTTACTAACCTTAACATAGTAAGAACGCTTACAAATCTACAGGAAAAATGCTAATGCTTCACAGAGTTAAGTGCCAAAGGATATGAACAAACTAATAAAAGAAATAATGTGGCTAATAAAAACAGATAAAGTATTCAAGCTCACTAATCAATAATCAAATGTAAATTAAGATACCAATGAGGTACTACTTTTCACTTAACAAATGACCAGAAAGAACTGGACTCAGCTCGTTCTTCCTCACTGCTTGACTTGCTAAACAACCAAGTGAAAACAACAACAGAAAACTGTAGAGAAACTACTCTCAGCCCTCCACGCAATTTCATTTTCAACGTGGATTCTTTTTTCCCAATCTGGTGCCGCCTGTGAACCATTTTATTTTCAAGGGCCTACTTTAGGCAAAATAAATTAAGTCAGTTCACAATGCTCCATAATACTCTGAAATAAAAAATAAAAATTTAAAAACAAAAAAAATTTAAAAAGTCAGCAGCAATAAAATAAAATAAAATCCTACTACTATTTTGAGGTCATTTAAATCAAATTGCTATCTCTTTCAGAAAGCCTCCCAATTAGAAGTGACCACTTCTTTTGAATTCTCAGTGGCACTTTGTACTTCTCTGATGTCACTTAGTATATTCTATCATGTATTTTATTTATGTTCATATGTGAATTTTTAAACTTGCTAGAACTTTGGGAAAAAGAAAAATACCTTGTTCATTTTTTTGTTCTTTTATATTCAATTAACTGAATGTTGTTTAATATATTATTGTTACACTGATTTGACTTTCTTTTAAATTTATTGAAGTTCTACACTAAAGTTATACATATATTTTCCACCAACAACAACAAAAAAAAAGTCAGCTCACAATGGACATACCAGGTACAGCCAGGGAGGGTCAAAGTAAGTTTTAAAGTATGGAGAAGGCTGGCACTGTTTTAGTAACCCAGAAGCTTCTACAAATGCCTTCCTTTCCCCTCAGCTACCTGCATGGCTCCCATAGCCATCTGTGGTCAGAACGTGGTCACTGCTGCTACGTGGAAAAACCCAGAGTGATTATGAAATGCCTCAGCCATGCGGCACAACACAACAAGCAGTGGACGGGGGAGTTTCCACTGGCGAAAACAAAAAGCTGTCTATTCGAGTTGGAAACCAAGAAGGGCAAAAATAAAGGAAAGGAGGAGAAGACCAAATCAGAAATGAGAGCAATGACAAGAGTATGGTCAGGCTTCAGAGAAGTCCCTGGCCTACCACTACGGCGGCCTCTGGGCATGCAGCATGATGGGGGAGACAGGAGGAGCTGGCCGGGGGTGATCATGTGAGGAGTCTGCTTTTTCTGGGCATGAAGCACCTCAGGCGTGCAGTGGATACAGGACCGTCAGAACGCGGCTGCGCACAGCAGCACAGCACTCTGGCCGCTCTGGTAGTTCATGCACGTTCATTTCCTGGGCAGACACCATAAAACGGAAGCTTGTGAACCCTCATCCGGGCCCCGAAGCAGGAAGGTGGAGGTTTCAGCCAGATGTCCCCTCTTCCTGGGGAGGCTGAGCACCGTCCAGGCTCCCTCATGCTCTGAACGATAACAAATGCTCTGCCTCGTCCAGGAGAGGTTGAGGGCCAGGGGAAAAGACATAAAAAGTGACAAAACTGGCCAGGCACAGTGGCTCACACCTGTAATCCTAGCACTTTGTGAGGCCAAAGTGGGAGGATTGCTTCAGGCCAGGAGTTCAAGACCAGTCTGAGCAAGAGCGAGATCCCATCTCTATAAAAAGCAGAAAAAATTAGCTGGGCGTGGTGGTGCACACCTGTAGTCCCAGCTACTAGAGAAGCTGGAGCAGGAGGATCGCTTGAGCCAAAGAGTTTGAGGTTGCTGTGAGCTAGGACACCACTGAACTCTGGGCGACAGAGTGAGACCGTCTCAAAAGAAAAACTTGCTATGGTCTGAATGTTTATTTCCCCCAAAATTCATGTGTTGAAATCCTTACTCCGAAGGTGACGATATCAGGAGGTGGAGGCCTTTGGTAGGTAATTAGGTCATGGAGGCAGAGCCCTCATGAATGGGATCAGTGCCCTTGTAAAAGAGACCTCGGAGACCCCTCACCCCCTCTACCACATAAGGTTACAGTGAAAAGACAGTGTGTGAGGCAGGGAGAAGACCCTCACCAGACACTGAATCTGCTGGTGCCTTAATCTTGGACTTCCCAGTCTCCGGAACTGTGAAAATAAATTTCCCATTTCTACAAGATAGGCAGTTTATGGTATCTTATACCGTAAGTTATATAGCAGCCCAAACAGACTAAGACAAAAGTCCTCTGAGCAAAACTAAAAACCAAAACTGATTTGCTCCAATTTTTCAAGCTTTCGTTTAGATCCCAACATCTATGGCAAAATGAGTTCAGAAAGACCTGGGGTCGGCTGGGTGCAGTGGCTCACACTTGTAATCCCAGCATTTTGGGAGAATGACCTGAGGCCAGGAGTTTGAGATCAGCCTGGGCAACACAGCTAGACCTGGTCTTTACAAAAATAAAATAAAATAAAAAAATTAGCCAGGTGCAGTGGCATGTGCCTATAATCCTAGCTACTTGGGAGGCTGAGGCAGGATGATCGCTTGAGCCCAGGAGTTTGAGATTACAGTGAGCTATGATCATGCCACTGCACTCCAGCCTCGCCAACAAAGCAAGACTCTGTCTCTAAAAAAATAAGTAAATAAGTAAGACAGACCTGGGGTAGAATGATGCTGGACCTCCCTCTTCTTGTGTGGTTTTGAGCAAGTCACTTCAACTCTGAGTCTCAGTTTACCCTGCCATATAAAATAGGGCTAGTCATACCCACTTGTGGTCATTATAAAATTTATAAAGAAAGTTCCCTCAAACTCTTAGCACAGTGTCTGACTCTCAGTGGTGCTCAGCAAATGTTAGTCCCTCGACTTAAGAGTAAGTTCTGTATATTGCTCTTCTATCCACCATTTTTTTTTAGGTTTCTGTAATTATGGTCGAATACACCTCACATAAAGTTTACTGTTTTAACTATTTTTAGGGGTACAGCACAGTGGCAAGAAGTACATTTATTCACATTGTTGTGCAACCATCACCATTATCTATCTGCAGAACTGTTCATCATCTGAAACTGGACTCATTAAACAGTAACTCCTCTACCCACTTTTTACTGGCTCTTCTGAGGCCCTCTGCCAAGAAAACTCTTTCCCATAGAATGATAAAAGGCAGAGGTCAGCCAACAGGCAGCAAGCTGGATTTGGCCTACAGCCTACCAGCCCCTAATATCAGTGATGGAGTATCAGTTCCATTGCCTTCTCCCGAGCACATGGAAAATGTCCCTCCACCTGCCCGCGGAACCACGGATGCTGTCAAGGCAATAACCACCTTTCAGATCATGTTAAACTGAGTTTATTGTGTCACTCTCGGAGATAAACGTCACCTGCACTTCTGAGGTCCTTCATAGCTTTCAGCCACAGTTCCAGAAAGAGAGTGAAAACAGGAAATCCGGGGAACAAGGGCTGAGAAGTGCCATCATCAGCCTCACATGTCCCTTGTGAGGAGGAAAAGCTGCCCATGGCCCCACACCTGCTCCATACCTGCAAGGAATACCGAAAGGAGGTGTCCACCTCTCTAGGAAAAGGTATAGAGCAGGGGCGTCTCTGTGTGGTTCAAAACCCTGCCTGACCACAACTGCTGAAGAAAAAACGCAGGCAGGTGAATGCACCATCGGCCATGCATGGAAATGCCAAGGCCCTGCCCATGGCTCGG